GGGCCAACCCAGAGAATACTACACTTTGGATTCTATCTTGTTCCTGCTCAATAATGTGCACCTTTCACATCCTGTTTATGTCCGCCGTGCTGCAGTAAGTAGACCATATAAAATTTTATTTTGTCTTGTTTGTGATAAGTAATATGTGCATTGTTATTTTCAGGGAACGATAGTAGCATTTAAGTGTATGAATTTGGCTGGGGAAAAGGAAAAAGATATGCAACGAAGTGTGTGTGTTTTTAAAAAGGAACACCTCTACCTAGGGATCAAATGACAGTCCCTGTCAAAGTGGAGTATTTTTCTTGATAATTCACTTCTTGATTATCCTTTCAAACCACCAAGTTGCATTTACGAGAGTCTGTAACCTAAATATTAACAGTAACAGCATTTCTCTTGAAATGGTTACAGTTGTCTCCAGCACTATTTCAGAAGTACTTTTGTCCATCTGTTCTCTGTTGTGCAATCCCAATCTAGATGATCCTTTAGTGCCTGAGATTGCAAGAATTTACCAAACAGAGAAAAGTACAGCGGAATAGCTTTGGAGTGGACTCAGAAGTATGCAAGCTAATTAAAGAAATGATTTGCAGAGCTTATCCAATAACGATAGAGGAACTCTGAAAGATAAAGTCCTTTTGATTTCCATTTGATTGCTTTCTGTGAGCCCATGTTTCATCTTCCCCTGTGCCATGCGGTTACCTGATACAGCAGTGTTGCGTGTTGTACATACTTGGAAGCACAGAATTTAAATACTCAATTTCTGTGTACCAACATTGACTCCTGGCAGGAAAGTGTGTATGTGTTAAAAGCTAGTTCTTATTTGCAAGTTTGAAGTGGGGGAGGAAGAAGGCTATCCAGTCTTCAAGTTTTATAGCAGACAATGTTTCATTTTGTGTAGTTGAACATCCTCTAGAAAGTAATTGCATATTTAAGCTTGATAGCTATGCTTTCTTGGTAGGCAGGATGTGTTCCTGTCTTTGTGTGAATTGGTAGTTTTCAATAAAAGTGAAAAATCCTCAGCAAGAAACTTTCTGAGGGGGTAACAGTTTAATGTCAAGTCTGCTGTCTTTTCAGACTGAAAACATTCCTGTGGTAAGAAGACCTGATAGGAAAGACTTGCTTGCATACCTAAATGGGGAAACATGTGAGTGATGTTTTCTTTAACTTAGACACATAGTGTGCTTTACTGCTTCATATTTATGGCACAAGTGAGATGTAGGAGGGGAAGGATGGTTAATGATGGTCAGTTTGCAGCTTAACTCAATATGTTCAGACTTCCCAAACGAAGTTAAGATTTATTTTTTAAATTTTGTTCTGAACTTAACTATTTTCGTGGTGCTTAGATAAGAGCTGCATTCTTATGTGTGTGTTTAGAAGTGGACTACTTTTTTATTATTGTTAGCATCCTTTTGTCAATGGTTATATCTTAGCATTTATATTTTTTCTTTCTCTAGACTGTAGGAAATTTTTGGTAGTGCATTGTTGTTGATGCAGTAAGTGTGTGGGATAAAATCTTCAGTATAGTAAAATTTATCAAATCACTGCTTTGTCAGTCTGGCAGATTTGCCTAGTATTCCATCCTCTTAAAATTTTTGTTAACAGTAGTCAGAGAAAAGAAGTTTCTCTGATGGAAAGTTAAAAGTGGCTTACTTTTGTAAGTTGCTCAGTTTTGTAGGTGATCTTAGAATTCTAAGTATACTGGAGTAGGAGGTTATTTCTGTAATATGAGCAGTAAACAATTTTTTATATATATATTTTAAAGGGACCAGCAGGTTGTCTTTATTCCAAAAACTAGACAAACTAGCATATCTTGATTCCAGGTTATAAAGTAATTACCTTTGTGACTGTGCTTTCTTTTATGTGGTATATACAGATCATAGAATCACTGACTAATTTATTAGTTGGAAGGCACCGCAGGTGGTCATCTGGTTCAATCCCCTTTTCAAAGAAGGGCCAAATGACCCTGAGCAACCTGATTAAATTCACATTCAGTCAGGTTCTGAATATCTCCAGTTCCAGTGTTTGGCCGCCTTTGCTACCTAGTATCTAGTTAGAATTTCCATTGTTGCAATTTATCTGTTGTCCTTCTTCCTTTTATACTTAAATACTTTTGCAAATCTTTTGTACTTAAATGAAATGTTGTATCTGATTACAGCAACCTCATCAAGCATAGACAGAAGTGCTCCACTTGAAATTGGTCTTCAACGGTCCACTCAAGGTACAGTTTAACTAAAAAATAACTTTGAGGTTTATTTTATGAAAGTCTACTACAATCTTGCATTTTTAATGACCTTTTTTTCTTGTAGTTAAAAGAGCAGCAGATGAAATACTAGCAGAAGCAAAGAAACCAAGAATAGAGGTAATGATAGTAACTGTCGTCAGTACAAATTAGAGGTGGCGGTAAATTACAGTATTTATTTGTTTTTGTAGCAGTTCAGTTGATCTTCCTGTCCTCTGGGTGCACACAGTACTTCTGTTAGTGGGAACATGAACTGGAAGGAGTTAGAATTTAAGCCTCTGGTTTAAACTTGGAATTTTAGTTGCTAGATGTATGTTGTGGTATGAAAGGGGAGAGCTTGACCACATATCTTGAAGTACCTGAACTGGAAGGAGTTAGAATTTAAGCCTCTGGTTTAAACTTGGAATTTTAGTTGCTAGATGTATGTTGTAGTATGAAAGGGAGAGCTTGACCACATATCTCTAAGTACCTGTTGCATTATAACCTGTTTGCTAAAAGCTATGGGATTGGAATAAAAGTGCTATTTAATGACTGATTACTGTTATCTGCTATCCATGAGTTGGCATTATAACTTAAATGCCAGTCTTATTGCTATAAATGGATACTTACTTGTTTTGCCTGCTATTTTAGTCCCTTTATAGCAGTATATGAAACTGTCCCTGTAATTACTGTTTTCTGAAGCTGTCTCTTAGGTAGTTAATTTAAGAGTGTATTTTCACAAGTGCCTCTTGAATAGAAGCAATGTGTCTAGTTATTGCACACATTGTATTACTTAACTCTGCTTGGTTTTAAAAACTGACTTACTGTTTTTCTTGATTTTTTTTTTAAATAAACAAACAAAAAAAAACAAACCAAAACAAATCTATGTTCATCCAGTTGTCTCTTCTGTGAGTTATTCTAAATCTGGCCGTATATATTTTCAGAGTACTGAGGCTTTAGATTTCTTCTTAGAAGAAGAGTTATCAAAATACATAAATTCCCTTATTCAAGAATTGGATTTGAACGTTGTGCTTAGGTATACCTGCATAAGAATCATAAAAACTTTATGCATTCTTAATGATACATAAGCACATGATTGCTGTGAGATGACCTATTGGTGATCTATAGATTTTTGTTCTACATTACCCTATGTAATGGTGCCAGTATGTTTGAAATTGTAAATCTTCACCATCATAATCTGGAGAATCAAGAATTCTGCATATGAACCTAATGAGCTTATGGCCATCTTCTCTTTGTTTGTTTCCTTGCTGCTCTGGCAGGTCAGAGTCTGTAAAATCTGTTTTAAGTTGTTCGGAGATCATCTTGGTGTAGAGATTCCAGGTCTCTCATGATACATGGACATGACTGGTTTTGCTGTGCTTCAGCCTTTCCAAACAGCCTTTTAGCAATAAGGCAGGCTTAATGCTGATTAAAGTTTTAAGGGGAAATAGGACAGATTGAACATGAGTGGTACCAGCATTAAGAAGCTGAAAAGATGGCATGAAATTACATCTCTCTACTCCTTTCTCAAGTTACACATCTGTTTCAAACCTGACTTGAGTAACTAGAGGCTTCCTTACTCTTGACTTGTTTTTTATATTTACTAGGAATGCCATTTATGAAAGTTATATGTCAAGATGTAACAGTTCTGAGCTGTCCTTTTCTTTAAAAATGTCACTGATTAAGTATCTGGGCAAATTTGAGTGTCTGATAAATTTACCTTAAATATGTATGTGTGTATATGTATTGTCCTGCCTGAATGTGTGCATTGTTTGCCAACGTTAAGTTCTCTGACCGATTTTTCTGTTGTTCTCAATTGTTGACTGAGCAAGGCTCTTTATGAGGGAATGGTAGTTTCATTTTCATTATTCTAATTGTACTTTGTGGCTCTTGAAAGGAAACTTCCAATTGCTGTACAGTTAATGGTAGTGCACAGGTCAAAAATAATTGGGAATAAAGATTGTCCTTGCAAATTTAAAAAAAAAATAAATTCTGAATAGCTTTAATTCTAGTTGTATTTATTTTTTTAAGAAGAATGCACAGTAAAATTAAACATTAGAGTTAAACATCACTGTTACTGCTAGGATGAAGAGTGTGTGCGCCTTGACAAGGAGCGGTTGGCAGCTCGGTTGGAAGGGCATAAAGAAGGTATCGTGCAAACGGAGCAGATCAGGTAGGAATACTTTTTCCTGTGGATAATGCTTAACTAAGGGACTGATAATAATTCCTATGCTATTCGAAGCAGCCGGTTTTACTTCTCTCCAACAGCTCTTAGTGGGAGTCTCCCTCCCTTAGGTGCTATCATTAGTAATGTCTGAGGAGGCAGAACTTCATTACTGATCAGACTCCTGTTCTTGAGTGGAAGTTCAGATGTCATGGTATGAGATTTGGTGTGTCTTCAGAAGTGAGTGGACAGTTGTCTCTTCCTCCCAGCAAGTCTGCCATTTCTGCCTCCTTCTGCAATGGTGTTTATCTAAGTGGTCAGATACAATAAGCAGAACTGCAAGGGGAAGCTGATGGTCTATTTCAAAGAAAAATATCCTGTATTGAGGAATGTCTTGCATGGAAAAGGAGGAAAACATTGTGAGAACAGATCAAAGGGTAACACAACCTCTATTTGACTCCCTGCAGAGGTGAACTTCTTACCACTGAAAAGGCAGTGGGCTACCAGAGGATAACGCACTGTGACTGCCATAAGTAGTAATCGGTGTTCCAAGTGCTTAAAAACTTGCCCGTCACCTTTCCTCTTCAGTTGTATCTGTCCAGAATTTTGCAAAGAATGACAGCTGGTTTTGAACATTACACCCTATCTTCCGAAAGCCAAGCAGAGAGGAAATGAAATTCTTGCAAGATCTTGTTGACTGTAAGGATCTTGGGCTTAGTAGGATACCAGACTCTAGTAGTTCATTTTCAAATACCCAAGTCCAGAAGTCTTGAAGTAAAGGTAGTTGCTTAATTTCTTTAGTATGTCAGCTCCCATAATGTAAAATGTGCGTTGTGCTTCCTACAGTTAAGGTGTGTGAGTATGAATTAATGTACTGCTTTGTTGGCATTGGATTTTGCACTTGATAGACCAACTGCATTCTTGAGAAATTTATCTCTTGAGCATAAACAATACTGTGAATGCTTCTGTCCTTTACTGGGATAAAATTTAACGCTTAGCCTTGCAACAATGAATATAGTGGAGTTTTACAACAATTAATACAGCATGTTTTGAATGTCTTCTTCCTCTCTGCCTCTTGTATAGGTATACTTAAAAGGAAACTATAGGAAAAAAAATCTGATTGTCATACCTGACTTAAAATCAGGAAGTCTAAGGATCAAACAATCAAAAAGTACACACAGTCTTTTGTATAGACTAATAATTTGGATACTAGCTTGAGTGTATCACAACTTTGTTTTGAAGTTGCGAGACAATGCTGCAGTGAGGATTACTGAGTATTATTCATAATTACTTTGTATTCTGTATTTACAGTTTTTTTTAATGCTGAATGTAAAAGTCTGCCCTTTTAAAAAATGTGCAAATAACATTTACAGGCAGTGAGTTTGAACTCCATGCTTGTCACTGTTTTTACTTTGACAGCAACACATAAATTCCCTTTTCACTAGCTTAGTTGTGAAAGGAGAATACTTCACAACCAGTACTTCTTGTATTAATTTTTCAATGTAATTGCAAAAAAAATCATGTAAAATTGAATTGGGTATGTGCAGTTAGGATTGTGTAATTCGATTTCCCCCCCCCCCCTTTCAGTTCACCTGCAAAACAGTAGGGCTCACCATTTGGCAACCAAATTCTGTGTTTACAATTAAAAGCAAACAGATAGAGATGTTGCACTCTTGGACTGAACTGAGCTACCTCAAACACAGATTAATGTGGACAAAGTTACTACCATCTGTTGTTTGTTTGGCTTACATGGTTTGAAAAGGTAACACATCTTCCAAGTGGCCAAGTCCAAGTAACAACACCTCAGCCGAAATTTAGATTAATGGTTTGAAAGCCTCAGAGCAGCCAGGGATTGATTGGCTGAACACAAAGTTGTAATCCACTAAAAATAATGGGGAGCTGAAATTCAGATGATGTTGTAAATGAAAGTGTTAGTCTTGATGCTTTATGTTTGCAGTCTTTACTTCTGCTTGGTATGGTCAGGATCTTTTGATGGTTTTTGTGCTAATACCAGGATGGAGTCTTTTGTCAGAAGTTTGATTGTTATGCCCAAAACAGCAATGTCCAGCTCATGTAATCTTCCAAGTTTATGTGACTATTTTATGATTTGTAGCATAGCTGTAAACTTTGAGTGGGATGAAGTTACTCATTCACAAATTCTTTCAGAAGAATCGTTTGTGCAATTATTCAGTCTATTCTGTTATTTTTGCTCATTTAGGTCCTTGTCTGAAGCCATGTCAGTGGAAAAAATTGCTGCTATCAAAGCAAAAATCATGGCAAAGAAAAGATCTACTATCAAAACTGATCTGGATGATGACATAACTGCTCTTAAACAGAGAAGTTTTGTTGATGCTGAAGTGGATGTAACCAGAGATATTGTCAGCAGGGAGAGAGTATGGAGGACAAGAACTACAATCTTACAAAGCACTGGCAAGGTAACGCTCTCGATACCAAGCTGTTTTTATGATCCAAATGACAAACTGCATTTTGTGTTTTCTGTATCTCTAGCTTGTTAACTATAGATGACTGGGGAGGATTATGGTTAGCATTCTAGGTAAAGGTAGGCTTGGAGAGCTGTTGGCACTATGACAGAAGAGTTCGTTCTTACCTTGTTACGGTAAGCCTAAAACATAGCTCAAAATACTTGCTTCAGCCATTTAAAAGATACCAAGTAATCGTTTAATTCCTCTTAAACAAAGCTGGCTTGAGCCCTACAATTGGGAGGGCTATATGAAAGTACCTGCGGGTTTGAAATGGACAAAAGTGGGGAGTAACTGATAGAAGTAGCAACATCTATACATTGCAAGTCAAAAGGCTGCTAAACTGTGGAAAACACCAAAGTAGTACAGAAAGAAGATGCTGAAGTGAACAAAACCGGAAAGTGTTAGCGTGAGGAGGCTTTTCTGTGTATTTTTGTCCCTTCATGTTCCGTTAATCCATGTCTTTAGCTGCACTTGGTTATATGCCATCCAGAATATAGTTGCAAGCACAGCTGACAGCCTGCTGTCTTTGGACAGTTAGACTTTCTTTATTGCTGTGATACTTGGCACTAAATTTCTCAAGGAAGCATAAGTCAGTTTCTAAAAGATTGCAAATGTCTGTTTCCCTGAGGTTATTGTCAAATTGCATCCTTTGCCTTCACTTTTTCTTTCAGTACTGTCACGGGAAAATAATGTTTAGCAGTAAATGAGGTCCCAGTTTTCATTTGTCTTATTTTTAACAGTATTTTACATAGCACTTATTTTCACAACCTGGTCTTATGGCATTAATGGTAGAATAATTTCATTCATGAATTATGGGGTAATTACTAGGTATGTGTGACGTACCTGCATGCTACATGCAGAGTGAGTGTTACTTCTTTGAGTCTGTGGGATTTGTGGCTATCTTAGTGCTGAACAGTTGATAAATTGGTAAAAGCCTATAACGTTTTAATCATCGGAAATGTTTGTACTGAAGGAATCTGGGTAGCTTTTCCTCCTTTAGCAAATCATTCATGGCATTCATATCTTGACATGTCTTCCAAGGGAAACTTGCAAAGATACTAGGGAAAGTTGAATTTTTTTTACTCTAGTATCCTTGTAATAATAGTGAAATGAGGTAGTGATTTTAAGCAAAACCTAACATGGGGAGAAAGACAAGAAATGAGATCAAGTTTGTTCTTGGACTCCAGCATGCAGTTACTTTGACTAGCTTGATGAATGTAATAGGTATAATAGCAAATCTTTATTTCTGTTGTGCAGGATTGCAGGAGCATTCTTGATAGCATGGACAGAAATCATCGAATGTTAATGTTTATGTTTTTGTACAAGGAAAAGTGAGAGTAAGTAGGTGGGGAAACATTACTTGTTAGCCAGGGCTGTAATTTATCCCAGAACAGTTCAGGGTTTTTTGTTTGGTTGTAGGCTGGTTGGGAGGGCTTTTCAGTGGTGGTTTTGGTTTGGGGTGGCTTGGTTGGTTTGGGTTTTTTTTAAAGAACCTTTGTGAAGACCTTCTCAAAAGGTGTTAGGAAACTCAGATATGTTTTCTCAGGCAGATCATTTTTTATCTACTTGTCTGTTCATTTAAAGAATTTTGATCGCAGATATGTTTTCTCAGGCAGATCATTTTTCATCTACTTGTCTGTTCATTTGAAGAATTTTGATCAGGGAGCACGATACCCCTCTGCAAATGCTGTTTCGATTTTTCCGTATGATGCTTGAATTACTAATGTGCTTGATAATTCTTTTTATTGTAAACTTTCACTATCTGCTTAGTATAGATTTATCTGCAATCTCTTGAATCCTAGAATGTTTAAAACCAAAATTGACTTCAACAGTAGTTTACATATCATATAGTATCTGACTTCTTAATATCTGAATTCCTTTAGAACTCCTGGGTGAATGATAACAAGAGTGAATACCCCAAAATGTCACTTCTGTTGTTTCTTTCAAAAATATTACTTCAGTCTGAGGCAGCTCCTCAAGCTGTTTTCTCCACAGAGAAAGACTCCTGTGTGTGAACATTCCCAGTGTTCTGTGTAGTAAACAAAGGTGCCAGAGATAGCTTAAGATGCAAAAGGAAAACACTAGGAAGATCACACCACAGCAAACAGAAAATAATCTGTCATCCTTACCAGTTTTCTGGCAGATTTCCTCTGTTTTTGATGTGTTTGAAAAAAGTACTGATTCCTTCAACAAGATGCTCCTCAAAATTCTACGTAGATGGCAATAATCTTAACTATATTTCTGGAGTATTTACTGTTTCTCCTTTTGGACACATTTTCTGATTCTGAAGTTTGCTTTTCAGTTCAGATAGCCTTTTGTGGTTTATAGAACTGTTCCAGGATTTTCTTTTTAAGTCTCTAGTGATGTAGTGTTCTTTTTTAAAATCTTTAAAAGTTGTCATGATACTTGCATTCTGCCCTTTTTAGATGATGCTTTTAATTATCTTTTGATAGCATCTTCATTGTTATGTAGTTCCCCTTGCTGAAATTATAGTGGTGGATTTTTTCCTGGCTATAGGGTGGTGGTTTTTTTGTTTACAAGAATGTTGAATTTGAGTGCATTGATCCTCCTATTGTAGAATATTCTTCAGCAGCTACCCCTCTGAAGTAGGAACTATGGACTAAATTAAGAGATGCTTTTCCTTTTGTGACTACTTTTGGTCAGTTGCTCCAAGAAGCAATTACTTATGATAGCTAAAGAATTAATCGCTGCATCACTTCCCTTCTTGATACTTTCCCATCCTGCAAAGTAACTGCAATCTCTCATAATTACTGTTCCTTCTTTGAAAGTCTCTGTATTGTCCCATTTGCATTGACAATATAGCCCTAATGCTCTAATGATTTGGGACAGGTTATCATTCATTTACTATCATTGATTGATTGTCATTCATAGTTTAAGCTTTCTATAGTGCATCACACAGATCCTTTATCTGTACAACCCCTTACCCTCTTTTGATCAGATGTTCCGTTGATCCCTGACTGTCTTGTTGCTGATTTTTTTTTTTTTTGTGAGATTCCTATCATTGGTTAAATCAGACGTTTCATTTTCTTCTCATAGTAGCTTTATTCTAGAACTATTTGATAGGATATATTGTTTAAAGCAGTTTAATTTCAAGTTTAGCTAAAGGCATGCAACTTAACATAGCTGTTTTGGTGAGTCAACTGACAGTCTAACCAACTGAAAATGTAGTCAGATTTCAAAAGCAATAAAAGTACTTGATGCTACAGCTGCTTCTGAATCCCTTTACCACTGTTTTAACAGCTACAGTTGTTGGAGGCTTTAAGAAATTAAGCTCTTCTGTTGGTCCTCACTCTTCATGCAGTCCAGTTCTCAGTCTTCACAAACACACACGAAAAAATCAGGGTAAGGGAATTACTATCTTCAGACTCGATACAGCTGGCTATGCTGGGGAAGAGAAGCAGTACAGGTGTAGGGAGAGAAGTTTAAAGAAGAAAAAGTGAAAGTTATTTAATGTGTAGATTAGTATTTGGAGAAGGTGTCTTGCCGCTTTAAGTGTCTCACTGGTGGGATTTTTTTGGTGGTCTTTTTTGTATAAAGCAGACATAATAATGCTTACTAACAACATGTTAGAAGGATAAGACCAAGTTCTTGACAATGTAGTCACGCCATTGGCTATGGAACCTGTTTCTGGAGAACAGGTTAAATTTGTCAGATTTTTATGTATGTTAAATCAGTTTGACCCGAAATACTGCCTGGTGAAGATACGTCAGGATTAATATTAACACTTTGGAAGCTGCAAATTGTAGGGGAAAATACTAACAAAATATTACTTCTGTAACTTCTTTATTGAGAGAACCTTTGTGTGTAGAACTGGGTATCTTCTCTGCTAGCTAAAGTTTTGAACCCATACATAGAATATTTGCCACCATAAGTATTTGGAGTGTTAAGTTTTGCGCTACTGCTTTGCAAAGGTTTCAGGTCTGTTGTGTACATGTTTTTAGACAAATGTCTGACTGCTCTATAAAACACACCAAGCGAGAAAAAACTGTGTTTAAGCTGAAATTGATTCCTTCCTTTCATGTCCTTCCTCTGTCTTTCCTTCCTAAAGAATCCTTTGACTTTTATAATCTTCTGTAGCAGACTTCATCAATCTTTTCTGAAGAAAAAACCTCTTCATTCCATCTCTACTGTAAATGTGTTTGTGGCACTTGAATTCTTCGTGTAGGAAGAAATTTAAGTAGCCTAAGCAGGAGTTTCAGCATTCACAGATTTATTTGGAGGGTGTATTTTGTTGGTGGCTACTGATGTACTTGACTTTTTTTATTTTCATCCCAGATTGCTCAGAAATATTTCTTAGATAAGTGGCGTAGTAACTGGGTGTGCTGGGTTGAACATGCTCTACTTGTATGTAGAGAAGTCTTAGAACTGGAATCTTGGAAATACAATAATACTGACCTTGTGAATTTATAACTTTCTGAAATGAGCCAGTGTTCTTAAAGGAATAATGAGTTCTGAGCATTTCTGATGTTTAAAAAAAACCCACAACTTTCATCCTTTTCCTTGTAGGGTATGACGGGCTGACCTTGGCTGTATACCAGGTGCCCACCAAGCCACTCTATCACTCCCCTTCTCAGCAGGACAGAGGCAGGGAGAAAATAAGATAGAAAAAAACCTCGCAGGTTAAGATAAAGGCAGTTTAATAAAAACGAAAGTAAAGGCCATGTGTGGAAGCAAAGGAAAACAAAAGATTTATGCTCTACTTCCCATCAGCAGGCAATGTCCAGCCACCTTATGGGAAGCGGGGCTTCAATATGTGTACCAATTGCACCGGAAGACAAATGTTGTAAATAACTAATGCTCCCTTTTCTCCTCCTTTCTTTTACCTTTATTGCTGAGCAGACATCCTACGGTATGGAATATCCTTTTGACTGGTTCGGGTCAGCTGTCCTGGCTGTGTCCCCTCCCAAGATCTTGCCCACCCCCCAGCCTTC